CATAGAGAAACCCTGTCTTGAAACACTAAAAAAAATCAACCAATCATGGCTCAACACTCAAAAGCACCAACTGCTCTTCCAGAGGACCCAAGTTCAAATACCAGAACCCACATGGCATCTCAAACTGTCTGTAACTCCAGAGGCTCCCACACCCTCATACAGACATACATGCAGGCAAAACAGCAATGCACATGAAATGAAAATAAACAAATCATTTAAAAATTTAAAAAATCTTTCTTGGTGTGTGTGTGTGTGTGTGTGTGTGTGTGTGTGTGTGTGTGTGTGTGTATGAGCAACACAAGCCAACTCAGTGTTTCAAAGAGCAGTATGGGTCCAGGATTCACAGCAATTCATTGAAACTTGTTCTTTGTTCCTGTCATATATGCAAATGTTATTCCTGATCAAAGATAGCAAGGAAAAAAATGAAAGTGCTGGACATGGTAACATATCTGTCATCCTAGCACTTGGGAGCTGAGACAAGAACAGCTAGAGTTTAAGGCTAGCCTAGGCTACATAGTGAGACTTTGTCTTAAAACCCAATCAGACAAAAAACTCTTCTTGGCATTCTGCAGATTTATACTCTGGTGAAGAACCAGAGCACAAACACTACATCAGAAAGTCAAACATAACATGGGCCATCAGACTAAGCAGGAACCCAGGATGGAGCAAGTGAGAGTCCTGTTGCTCTCCCTGTGCTAATGTACTGAGAGCCTTTGTCTTTTGCAGTGGATCAGAGCTCACTCCCTATGCACTAATGAGCAGAATTCTTGGCTCCAGCTGCTGAACTGGACACATCATAGGGTAGAAATGCCTCACAGGGCCCCAGAGCCTCTGATCCAGCTGCTATTATCTTCCCAGGTCCTCTCCTAGGCCCAGCTGTGGCTGCTGTTGGTAAAATGCAATTGGCAGAAGCACTTTAGAGAGTCACTATCTTCCTGGGTCTTGGTGTTCCCAAGTATAACAGGCACCTGCCTTGCCTGGTTTCCTCATAGAACCAGGTGGGAGAGGGACAGACCACATAAGAAGGCATTATTGCACTGTGAGTTGTCTGCTACCTATCTCTGTACCTCTATTCCAGCCCCAGATTCAGCTCCATGGGAGTGAAGACCTGGTACCCACCAGCCTGCTTGGTGAAGAGGCTCCTCAGAGGCTAAAGGATTTGGTTCTGGGTTCAAACAATCCATATAAGTCTTTATTTATTTATTTTGGTTTTTCGAGACAGGGTTTCTCTGTATTGTTTTTGGAGCCTGTCCTGGAACTCACTTGGTAGACCAGGCTTGGTCTCAAATTCACAGAGATCCACCTGCCTCTGCCTCCCAAGTGCTGGGATTAAATGTGTGTGCCACCACCGCCCGGCATCAGTGTTTATTTTTAATTTTAGAGTGTATGTTTTTATTTTCCATTCTTGCAAAAATCATTTAGCTTGTTTATTTAGCATGTGATATGTTCATGTGGGCACATGTATGTGCAGATGCATACACTTGTGTGTGTACATATGAAGGTGTACCCAGGGTATTCTCTTCAAGTGAGTCACTGGTCAACAAGACCACCTGGATCCCTTGTTTCCATCTCACTAACTCTAAAGTTACAAATGTGTCAGGGGCTGGAAGACGACTCACAGGTTAAAAGCTCACACTGCTCTTGCAGAGGACCCGAGCTTTGTTTCCAGAACCCATGTCAGGCAGCTCATTAATGGCTTATAACTTCATGTCGGGCTTTCATGAACACCTGCATTCATGTGCATTGTGATGGTTTGAGTGAGAAAAGTTCCCCATAGGTTCATATGTCGGAATACTTGGTTCCCAGTTGGTGGACTGTTTGGGAAGGATTAGGAGGTGTGGCCTTGTTGGAGGAGATGTGTCACTGGGGGGCTTTGAGGTTTCAAAGCCTAGACCATTCCTAGTGTTCTCTCTCTACCTTCTACTTGTTTGCTGAGATGTGAACTCTCATCTATTTCTGCCACCATAGACTGTGACCCTCTGAAACAGTAACTTCAGGCCAACACTTTCTTTTATAAGTTGCTTTGGTCATGGTGCTTTGTCACAGCAATAGAGAAGTCACCGAGACATGCACATACCCCTCACATGCCTGATTTTAAATGAATATTAAAACTCACGAATGTATACTACTACCCTTCACTTTTATGTGGATGCTGGAGATTTGAACTCAGACCTTCATGCTTATGCAGCAAGCCATTTTATCGAGCCATTGCCCCAGCCCCAGCCCCATGTATTTTAACCACTATTTTCATCAGAATTATTTCTACTTTAAAAATAGAGATTAACCCTAAAAAGGTTTAAGGACTTGAAAGATGGATCAGAGGTTAAGAGTAAGTGTTGCTCTTGCAGGGGACTAGAATTCAGTTGGCAGTATCCAAGTGGCCCACAGCCCTCTGTAACTTCAGCTGCAGGGGATCCCACACCCTCTTCTATGCTTCAGGCACTGTACTCACATTTGCATATTCATACACAGACAAACGCAATCATGCACAAACACTAGCTGGGCATGGTAGTCCATGCCTTTACATTCTAGCACTCAGGAGGATCTCTGTGAGTTTGAGGCTAGCCTGGTGTACATAGAGAGTTTCAGGACAGCCAGGGTCACATAGGGAGGCCCTTTCTCAAAAAACACAAAACAAAACAAGCAAATAAACAAACAAAAAATAAAAAGAAAGAAAGGAAGGAAAAAAGAAAGAACAGAAACCAAGATGTTGACTGGGTCATAGTGGCACACACTTTTAATCTTAGCACTGGGGAGGCAGAGGTAGGGGAATCTGTGAGTTTGAGGTCAGCCTGGTCTATAGAGTGAGTTACAGGACAGCTGAGGCTACGTAGAGAAACTCTGTCTTGAAAAACAAAACAAAACAACCAAACAAACACGCCAAGATGTTGAGCTAGGAAGATGGCTCAGTGTAAGAGCTTGTTTAGCATGGAGCTCTGCATTTTCTTCTCAGCAATGAAAAAAAAAAAGCAATAGACACTTGGACCCACCCTTCTTTGTCCCCAGGGCCTGTTTTCCAGCTGTTGAGTTCCAGGACAGGCTGAGAAGGATATCGTGCACCGGCCAGGTGTTTGAGCTCCTGCGCTGACTTTCCTTCTTTCCTGGTCTGCTGCCCTGGCAGGAAGACAGTGCCTTGGTGCAGTCAATTATCCTGCCTTCTCTGAAGCCCTGTTCTCAGAAAAGACCTTATAGACTCCTTCACTCTCGGAATAGACGGCAACAACAAGTGAAGTAAAATACAAGGAGGAAACTTTCATCTTGCTGGTTCCAGGCCCCAGTTGTGTGATATCAAGTGCACCCACACTGAGACAGCCCCACCACTCACCTACAGGGTTACATTATCTACAACATTGAAACTGTGTGTCCATTAAAGTTCCCGATCTCCTTCTTCATGGCAACCACCATTCTCCTGTCTGTCTTTCGGAATCTGACTACTTTCCCTCGAATCAGTGAAATAATATAGAATTTATCTTTTTTTGGCTGTTGTATCTCACATAGTATAGTATTGCCAAGGTCCATCCATATGGGTGTGTTAGCATATGTCAGGATTTCCTTCCTTTAAAATTATTATTATTATTTTTTGCTGGGCGTTGGTGCCTTTAATCCCAGCACTCGGGAGGCAGAGGCAGGCAGATCTCTGTGAGTCCGAGGCCAGCCCGGTCTACAGTGTGTGTTCCAGGACAGCCTACAAAACAATACAGAGAAACTTCTGTCTCAAAAAACAAAAAAATTATTAATTTTTTATTACATTTATTTGTTTGTTTTGCATATGTGTGTACACATGTACAGGTCACAGGATAACTTTTGGAAGTCAAGATTTTCTCCTTCCACCATGCGGGTTCTGGGGCTCAAACTCAGTTTGCCCAGCCTGATGGCAAGCACTTTTACCCACAAAGCTATCTCGACACCCTTCCTTTTTAAGGCTGAGTAACAAATATTCTAGAGTGTGTCTATGGTGCACATTGTTCTCCCCTCATCCTTTGATGAATACTTGGATGGATATTTTGGATGGACACTGTTTTGTTACTGTTCTACTGCTGTGAAGGGACCCCATGACCAAGGCAACTTATAAACGAAAGCATTTAGTGGGGAGGGGCGCTTGCTTACAGTTTCAGAGGGTGAGTCTATTACCATGTAGTGGGTAGCATGGCGACAGGCAAGCAGGCATGGCGCTGGAGCTTACATCTTATCCGCAGGTTAGAGGTAGAAAGACAGAGTAGACCTGGCCTGGGTTCTACTAATTGGGGACCACCAATTCAGACAGGAGCCTGTGGGAGCCATTCTCATCCAAACCACCACAGGGATCTTTGAGTTACTGTGAGCAGAGCTGCTATGAACATGGGCATACAGATGTCACCCTGATACTCTGCTTGCAGCTCCCAGAAGTAGAATGCCCGGGTCATGTGGTATTCTTATTTCAAAATTTTGTTTTAGCACAGTGTCTAATATTGTAGCCCACTCTGGCCTAGAACATGCTGTATAGCTCAGACTGCCCTCAAACTCAAATTGATCCTGCTGCCTCAGTCTCCTAATTAATGGGATTTAAAGTAGAGGGCCACCACATTCCATAATTTAAAAAGTTTTTTTGGTATGCATGTATGTGTGGTGTATGTGTGTGTGTTCATGTGTATAAGGGTATGTGTGTACATGGAAGCCTGGGGTTGACACTGGGTATCTTTGAGTATTGTTCTCTACCTTATATTTTGAGGCAGGGTCCCCTGCTGACTCCAGAGCATGAGGTTTTGGCTTTAGTCTAGCTAACCTGCTTGCTCTGAGGGTTCCCTGGACTCCAGACCTCTTGCAAGAACAGTATGTGCTATTTACTCTTGAGCCATCTCTCCAACACTAATCCAGCCTCACTAAAAAAATTATTTTAAAAGACAGGATTTCTCTGTGTAGCCCTAGCTGACCTGGAACTCGCTCTGTAGACCAGGTTGGCCTCCAACTCACAGAAATCCACCTGTCTCTGCCTCCTGAGTGCTGGGATTAAAGGCGTGTGCCACCACTGTCCAGCTTCATTTTTACGTTTTGAAGAAAACATTTCTGTAGTTTTCCACAGTGGTGACACCATTTCATAGTTCTGTGGCTTTTCTGGGGAGAAGTAAAAGAAACAACCATTCACCCTAAATAGGGAGTGAGCCAAGAGGCCAAAACAAGTCCAGCCTGGCAAATAATTGAGCTGCTTGGGGTTGAATGAAGCCTTAGTGCCACTCAGGCAAGCCCTGCTCAGTTTTCTCCCTCATACACTCTAGCAAGTTTAAGAATAAGTGCAGCCGGGGCCAGAGGGCGTGGTGATTGGAATCCCAGGGGAGGGGCGTGTGAGTTTCTTGTGATCCTCTTACTCCATCTCCTAGAGTGAATATTAACAGTACTGTGATGGTAGATGTAGCAGAGTTCTGGCCACATTCAAGGAGCAGCAGTGAACAACGCTGTCAAAATCGAACAAAGTGAAACCCACGTTGGAAACTCCCAGAACACAGTGTACCGCTGAAGAACAGCACCTAACTGTAAGTAAAAGGGTCTTGAGAAAACACAGCTCACAAACACCAAAAGCAAACCAACCTTCTTCTCTTTCCCTTCACAGGACAGCTGGGGACAGGAGGTGCTGGCCTTGGGTTGATGACTCAAAAGCACTCAGTTGAAGATCTTTGTGATTTTTCTCAGCCTTTTCCTCACAGATTCAGGACGGCAGCTTCAGCTCCAGATCCCACATCTGCCTCTATGGAAAGAGGGAGGAGGGAGAGAGGGAAGACTCTACTAGGAAACAGAATTTATGCCCAGAGTTCTTCCCTCCTTGCTCTCCTGTGTAGCTTCTATTTATTAGTTACAAACACAACTTGAGACACGTTTGTTTATTCGCATGGTTTCTGTGGGTCAGGTCTTGGATGATGGCGTCCATAGATTCCTTTGCACAAGTCTGGCAAGCAGCACTGTCTTCAAAGGTTTCCAAGCTCCCTCAGGTTGTTACAGAGATCATTTCCTTACAGCCTCAGAACTCATAGACACATGCATGTTAAAGGCCAGAATGACTGGACTCTTATTTACTTATATTTGGTGTGTGTGTGTGTGTGTGTGTGTGTGTGAGTGTGTGCCCACTTCCCACAGCATACAGATGGAGGCCAGAGGACAACTCTCCGGAGTTTATTCTCTCCTTCTCCCATGTTGATTTGAGAATTGAACTCAGGTTGTCAGGCTTGGCAACAAGCGCCCTTACCAGATAAGCCATCTGGCTGGACCATGTGTGGTCCACAGAGAAGACCCAGGAGCACCTGTATCCTTTATAATGAACTCACCCAGGGCTTGATAAGTAAGTGCCATTCTTCAATGAAAGGCATCCAAGCCTTTTTGAGAAATGGCAGTTTGTGCACCAGGCTAAAGAAAGTAGAACGGAGCCTAGGACATCTCAGACCAGAAAGTAAGGAAGTACTCAAAGAATAACAGGCATCTACTAAAAGCACACAAAATTCTACAACTATTTTGAAGAATAGTGTGGCTTATGAAGTTAAGTAGGTACTTAACCTACAACACACCTATACTACTTTTTAGGTGTTTATCCAATAAAATATAAGATATATGTACTTGAAGAATTATAGATTTTATGTAGCTAAATATTTGAAATGTCTATTGATGGTTAAGTGGATAAGCATATTGTGATAAATATGTAGAATAGAATACTATTTAACAGTATAAATGGAAGCATAGCTGGCAAGACATGGATAATCTCAAAAACATGAAGGCTAGTCATATAGTTCATGGTAGAGTGCTTGCCTATAATGTACAAGGCCCTGTGTTCAAGCAAAAATATTATGAAAGAACTGGTCACAAAGAAGTATTTACAGAGTGAAATTTTAGTAACAGTAAACTGGTCATTGATTGCAGGAGTGGGGGGTAGGGAGTTAGATTGACTGCAAAGGGGCATAGGGAGCTTTCTAGGTCAGATGGGCTTTGTTGGTGTTTATGAAGATAAACATTTGTCACTCATGAGGCAAATATTTAAAATGTATCCCCTTTGTTTTATGCAAGTTCTATCTCAATATTGATAGTTTAAAAAACTTGGACAAAAGATTCTTTACTAAGGAGTGTACCCAGGCTGGGCACTGTGGAGGCAGGAAGATCAGGAGTTCAATGTCAGCTTCAACTACTTAGTACATCTGAGGTCAGCCTGGGCTTCATAAAACCCAGTTTGAAAAAAATAGTTAGGTACAGTAGTGCACATCTTTGATTTCAGCACTTGAGATGCAGAGGTAGGTGGATCTTTGTGAGTTCAAGGCCAGCTGATCTAGACGGCCAATTCCAGGTCAGCCATATCTGGATAGTGAGACCCTATCTCAAATCGAATCAGTCAAACAACCAATCAAGCAACCATCAAAAAGCATACCCAAAGAGCTATAAACATATGCACAGGTGTTCAACTACCTTAGCAATAAAAAGTGTAAATTAAAGCATGAACACACTGTCACACAACATACTGCCTGTAATAAATAAAATAGTAAAGATTGCTAATCTCAAATTGTTGAGGTTGTGGAGTAATAAACGTCCAGATAGGAGTGTAAACAACGTAGACATTAGCTACTTGGCTTATAAGATGAACCTATACATGAAACCTAAGCAGTTTGTGGCAGACTCTGATTTCAGCTGCAGCTTTGGGCAGTTCCAACTCTTTGTATATTGTGACATTGACCTACTGTCCACCACACACCTTCCTCACTCTCCTGCAGGAAATTCTCTGATATCAGATTGTAAGGGGAACCTGCAAAGAAAGCCATTAAGATTAGGGGCATCAACAGCCTAGGCGACAGCCCTTAGGTGATGAGGAATTCCTGCAGTAGATAAGGCTTCCTCTTTCAGGTGGTCTCTTCCAGGAAGCACCTCTGCATGTTTCTCCAAGGTTCCCACACACTCCCCATTGGCTTTCCCTCTTTCCCACACCACTCCTGTTTTCTGGAATCACCTCCTAAGTGAATGAAGAATTTCCAAGTATTAATCGAAGGCTCTGCTTTTTTTTAAACTCAGGCTTAGATAATTGGTACCCAAAATGACTTTACTCTTAGATGAAATCCTGGAAGTGACCTAGTAGTCACTGATCAGATGGCAAAAAGGGTCCCGTTGTTGATAGCTGAGTAGTGATAAAGCCCTTGCTTGGCACACTGTATCAACACAAGGGCTAAGACTCTTTGCCTGATGCCAGTTCTGGAAGTACAAGTGGAAGGAAGACATTAAATCATGTCATAGGTATTGACAAGATGGTGCTGTGGGTAAACATGCTTGCCACCAAGCCTGATGATCTGAATCAATGTATGGAACCCACATGTAGCAGGAGAGAAGTGACTCCCGAAAGTTGTCATCTGGCCTTCGCATGCTCACTGTGACATGTGCCCCCCCCACACAATAAATAAGCAAACGTTAAAAAAAATTCAGTCCTCTCATAGCCCTAGCCTAGCACAGGATTCTCAATCTTCTATTCATTTGTTCTTATAGGAAGAAAGAAGAATTAAATCTGTCCTAGTTAGGGTTTCTACTGCTGTGATGAAATACAAGGGACAAAAGCAAGTTGCAGAGGAAAGGGTTTATTTAAGCTTACACTTCCACATCATAGTCCATCACTGAAGGAAGTCAGGGCAGGGATTCAAGGTCAGGAACCTGGAGGCAAGAGCTGACGCAGAGGCCATACATAGAGGAACTCTGCTTACTGGCTTGTTCTCCATGTCTTGCTCAACCTTATTTCTTATAGAACTCAGAACCACCTGTACGGGGGTGACCTAATCCTCAATGGGCTTGTCCACCTCCACAATGGATTACTAATTAAGAAAATGCCCTTCTTATAGCCAGATCTTCTGGAGGCAGTCTCTTAATTGATGTTCCCTCCTCTCAGATGATTCCTGCTACAAAAGCCTTCCTACTCAGATAATTTAAATATTAAATAATAGAATCTTTATCAAACAGTACTGAGTTATAATACCTAAATTTTTTCTGCCTATGTGTGTACCAGGTTGCCATAGAGAAATTTCAGTACTGTTGAGAGGGTTCTCTAGTACTTGAGTTATATAGGGACAGTGTCACAATCTCATGTAGTTGGTTGTGTTTTGTTAGCAATCTTGAGAGTCTTGAAGAAAATTCAGGCTCAGGTTGCTCATTCACCAATCAAATCAAGACATGATGTGAAATCCAGAAAATCTCTATGGAAGACTGAAATACAAGAAAGCCCGTCTTCTTTGGCAGCTGGGACAGCAGACTGTGATGAGAGTGATGTTCTGAGTGAGGAGCTAGCTGTGTGTGAAGCACCATGCCTGTAGTCCCAGCACTCAGGGTGCTGAGGCAGGTGGATCTTGACTTTGGGGCTAGCTCTGGGCTATATAGCAAGACACTGCCTCAAAAACAAAGAAACACGATGTAATAGGGTACTAGAGATGTCTTGATTATTTGCTTTTTGGCAGGGTTTTCGGGACTGCATAGTAAGTGGTATCTAACAACTGGGGTAGACACATTAGAGTGTGTCTACCTCTAGAAAACACCCCCTTCCACTTTATTAAATAGATGAGCCCTACTTTTGACTGGAGATTCATTTCTTTTGACTGGGGTACAAGTTAGTACATGCGTAGTTGCCTAAACCAATACACATTTGCTATTTTACAGTGATGTAGTTCAGAAGTGCAAAATGGATGTGGGTTGAAACCAAGGTGCCGGGAGGACTGAGCTCCTTTCTGGAGAATGCAAAGGAGGATTTGTTTTCTTGCATCTTTTGAAATCTGGTCTGAGAAGCAGTTCCTATCTCAAAATCCTTATTTAATCTTATCTGCCAAGTGCTTTGCCATGGAGGGAACCACACTTACTATTCCCAGTGGTCAGAATATTAATAGTTTGGAAGAGTTCCTATTTGCCTGCTGTGGAGACAGTGCAAAGATGGCGTAGATTAGGATAAATTATGTTCTATGTGTATGCCTCAGTTTCTCCATCAAAGGGTTGTGAGAGGTTTGTCTAGGGAGATAGTGTTAATGAGGTGTCCAGAACAGTAGCACACAGTAAGCATTTATTACATTTTTTTTGCATACACAGGCTCTGGATCTCAGAGATTTGCCTGACCCTGCCTCTTGAATGCTAGGATTAAAGTCTATGCCACCCGCAGGCTATGAAATATATTTTTAACAGATCAACTGATGCTATGTAACAAGCACTGATCCGACTTTGGGAGATGCACATAGGAATACGACTTGTGGAACTGATGGAGTCAGGCGTTCAGTTACAGTTACTACACCTTGTACTGTTTGGGATAAAGGATCAGGCGAGGTGGTGCACTTGGGAGGTTGAGGCAGGTGGACCGTCCCAGGTTCTAGGCTAGCCAGGCAAGAATCCCGAAAGAGAAAGACAGGCCGGAGCAAAGGTAGAGTGTAAGATGAAGCCAGGAAGACTGGTCTAAGCAGCCAGCCTGTTCGTGCTGTGTTAAAGTTTGGACTTTATCCTAAAAGCAATAAAGTCTCTCAGACTGTTTAAACGGGGAAGGAGATCATGACTTCCATAGCTTTATAAAGCTCCTCAGGAGATCAGAGAGCACAGTGAGTTAGATTTTGAGAGACTAAAGGTTGCTTCTGTTGCTCAGGTGATGATGGGGAATAAGGCAATGGCTTGACAGCGTTTCCAAACCGGAAGCCCAATTTGAAATGAATGCTGAGAATGAGAATCTGACTTAGAGGGCTGCTGCATGGTGGTTCATTGGCTAAGAACAGGACACCAGAAATACCCATTGTTTTCAAGCACAATGCATGCTGAGCTGCGGCTATTATTATTACTGTTTATTATTATTATTATTAACTATTGTAAAGCTGAAGCTTAGAGAGGCCAAGTTAGAATAGGTAGGTGTTGTTTATTGTGAAGAAATTATGGGTTAGGAATTCGAAGTCTTAACTTGAACATCTGGGGTGTGAAATAAGGCTCTGAGTTCCAGCTCAGAGTAACACTGTCTCGGTTTTGAACTCACCGAATCCAAGGTACAGTAGGGCGTGCAAGCAATGAATGCCGTTTTACAAGTATTGAGAAATACAGAATCTGAGCTCAGGAGAAAAGCTGTCGTCAAAAGTGGGAGAAAAGCGGGAAAAAGAGCCCCACGTGAATTCAGTATAGTTTAAACGTCTCCGCGATTTTCCCGCACCCTTACCCTGTCTATCTCTGCTCAGATCGCCAGCCCCAAGACAGACAGAAGAGTAGATGTCTACCTCGGAGATATCTCGAGTTTTCACACATTCAGCTCTTGGAGAGAGAAGGGATGCAGAGGTGCTTTGTAACCAAGGGGCTACCTGCGTTCTACCTTGACTACACTCTAACCATCTTTTATAGCACCGAGACCTTCAAGGAAAACCACTGGTTCCAAACAGGAGGCCGTCTGGACTCACAGCAGAAACCCGGCCCCAATGACGTCACGTGGCAGCCAGGTGATCCTCGGCCTCTGGCGTCAAGCGCTGATGACGTCATCCCGGCGCTGGGCCTCTCCCCCTGGCCTTGTTGGCCTAGTTTACGTGGGTCTGTCCGGCGCTCCCGCCCCCTCCCACCTGCGGGGGGCGGAGGCCGGGCGGAGGGGGCGGGTCCCAGCCGGAGGAGGCGGGGCCGGGGCGGGGCTGTAGGGCGCGGCGGCAGCCAGTCGGGCAGCATACAATAGCAAGGCTGCGACTGGGGCCGAAGGTGCGGCCGCACGGTGGGCGCTCCTCCCCGCTTCCCCACACTTTCCCGTCCCGCTTCACCCTTAGGCTGCACGGGGTCCCCTCCGCGATCACCGGCTCTTCGCAGTCGCTTCTGCTCCCTCAGAGCCCGCGCTCTCCACAGTCCCCTCAGGGAACGCTCCCCTCAGCGAGCGCACCCCGCCCCCTCGGAGTCCCGGCGCGCCTCCCGCTCCCCGCGGCCCGCAGCGGCCCGTCCTCCAGACCCCGGGCCTGAGGGAACGGGGCGGGAGCTGTGTGAGGAGAACGCGGGGCGGCCGCCCGCGCACACTCCCGCGCTCTCTCCGGGCTCGGTCGCCGCCAGGAGGAGGAGGAGGAGGAGGAGCGGAGCGAGCGCAGAAGGTGAGAGCCGGGCCCCCGCCCGGTGCTCCCGGCATCGCGGCGTCCAGGCGAAGGCGCGGGGCTGGGGAAGGCGCGGGGGCGGGGGCGCCAGGTGAGCAGAGGCGGGCGCCGCCCCGCGAGGCCGACTCCCTTCGGGCCAACAAAGGCCCCCTGTGCCAGCTCCGGTGCGATCGCGGCTTCCCGCAGCCGGGACACTGGGGGACCCCGAGGGCGGGCTCTGGCGTGGGAGGCCCCCAGGTTTGGGTCCCGGACTGACTGACTCCCTCCGGAACTTCGGGGTCCTGGGACGCTGAAACTGGTCCGCGACGCAGACGTTTAGGAAAGCAGTGCGGTTTTATACACCGTGGTCGGTCCCGGTTTGGGAATCACTTTTCGGGTTCATCGTCTGGAAAAATAAAGATTCGTAGTAAATGACTTGTGCCGCCCCTCCCCCACTCCAGGAATACCCCGTAACTTGGAAGTTCCGCATAGACTTGGAAAAGGAGAATGAGAATCATAGTTTTTTCACTCCCATTATTATCCTACTTCAAAAGGCAGAATTATTCCCAACCATCACTAACTATCTTGGATCTTTTAAGGGTAAACAATACTGTGAGTGTTTTGGAAGAATACTTGACAATTATTGGGTGACTTTAAAAAATCTTGTAACTTAAGTTCCTTATGTTAAACCCCTTGGATAATTAGCCTTTACAATATTTTCAGAAAAGGTTAATAATCAAGTTACTACTTTTAAGAATCGTTCTTTGGAAAAATCTTTGTCCCGGTGTTTAAGGGTCTCTCCTCCCTGTCAGGAAGAAAACAGCAGCATAGATATGCATCACCCCCTTCCTGTGTGACCTTGAACAGGTCGCTTCCAACCTTAAAGTTCCTGGAGTTTGCTATTGATCTTCAGAAATAAGCAAGTAGCTAGCAATCATCCACTCAGCTTTCAAGATTCCACTGAAGAATACTCCCCACAGTGAAGTCTTCGCTGGCATCCATTCTGCCTCCTTCGTGGTGGATCACACTTCTCCCTATTGGGGCTCCCAGAGGCCCACAGGGATTTCTTCTGACTGCACTGGTACCCTATTCTACACCATGCACACTTGAACACACAACCCACCTCATCTAGAAGCCACCTCTCAAAGAGTTTTGGCAACACTCCCTGAAACTTTTTCATATTCTTACCTACTACATGGACTTATGGCTTGACCTGATCAACTTGCTTATTTATTCATCTGCTTATCCAACATTAGTACTAAAATATGGAGTGTTACAGTGTTTCAAGCTGTCTACTAAGGTCTGTGTGAATTTCAAGTGTATCAATACAGTCGGTCTGTGCTCACAAGACCAAGAGCTCAAAGTTTAGTGGGTGAGGTAGACATGTAAACAATGAAAGCCCTCTGGGGGACTCCAGTTGTACAGGGAATAGTGTGCAGTAATTGAGGTTGCTGGACCTGTCCTACAAGTCTCGTTCTGGCCAAAGCAAGTCCTTAGGGAAAGTGACTGGCCCCTTATCTATAAGTGCATTTGATACAAAGCTTATCCAGTTCAATTCAATATGTATTTTTTGAGTACCTGTTTTGAGGCCTTGTGCTAGGTTTGCAGGAAGCTATGCATCTTGAGGCTTCTTTGTAAAACAAAACTTGTCATATCAGTGCTTCCTACCCCCACCCCTCTCTTTTCACAGTTGAAGGATCAGACTTTTTAGGACGAAATAAACCGGAGCCCAGACCGTTACCTGCTTTTGCAGCCTTAAACGTTTTGTGTGGTGTCCTCCACTCGCTTTTTCTCATCTCTTTTTTTATGTGCTGCTCCTGCTGCTCCACCTGGAGTGCTGCTTTCTACCTCTTACTTGCCTGTAGAGAGTTCTTTGTTGGATCTCTGAGAAACAGTCCCTCTTCTCTCCTTTCTTCTCTTGGGATGAACTGCTCTTCTAAAGTCCTTCTGATAATCAGTTGCAGTTAGAGTTTGCACCTTTTCCCTTTAGCCTTTGCATTCTTCCTTCCTCCCTCCCTCCCTCCCTCTTCTCCTCCCCCTCCCCTTTCTGTGGTACTAGGGATCAAGTGTCCTATTGCTTAGCTCTATCCCCAACCCCTTTCACACTGAACATTTTAAAATTCTGAGACAGGACCAGCCTTGAACTCATTCTGTAGCTCAGGAAATGAACTGTGGTTCTTTTTTTTTTTTTTTTTTTTTTGACAGGTTGAAGTTTGAACCTAGGGCTCTCCCTCTTTACATATTTATTTGTTGTGTTATGAGTGCATACATTCAAGGTATTGTAGCTTGTATGAAGATCGGGGGCAACTTTTGGGAATTGGTTCTCTTCTTCCTGGGGATCAGACTCAAGTTATCAGGCTTGGAGGCAAGCGCCCTTTCTTGATAAACTGTCTTGCCGGCCCTGTATATTTAAAGTTTTTTTTTTTTTTTTTTTTGAGACAGGGTTTCTCTGTGGCTTTGGAGGCTGCTCTGGAATTAGCTCTGTAGACCAGGCTGGCCTCGAACTCACAGAGATCCGCCTGCCTCTGCCTCCCGAGTGCTGGGATTAAAGGTGTGTGCCACCACTGCCCGGCTAAAGTTTTATTTATTGTTATTGTGTGAGTGGGAGTTTTGTGGAGGTCAGAGGACAACTTTCATGAGTTGGTTCAGTTTCACTTTTCATAGTGGGTTTCAGGGGTGGAACTTTCGGGCATAAAAGCAAGGACTTCTTTACCTGTTGACCCATTTCATTGGTTCTATTTTTTATTTTGAGACAGGACCTACCTAAGTTGCTCAGGCTGGCATTCAAACTCCATGTATAGCTCAGGCAGTCCTTGAACTTGGAATCCTTCTGCTTGTAACTTCTGAGGAGCTGGGATTACAGGCCTATACCACTAGGCCTGACTCTCTCTCTGAATTATTTGAGGTCAGGATATAATTAGATTTAGTGTCTAGAAATATTCCTGTACTTTTGAATAAGTGTTTGAATGAGTAAATAATGTGAATGGATGAAAGAAACAAGTCCTGTAAGGCTCATGAGCTAGGTTACCTAATCTTTTGGATAGAACAGTTAGTTGTCAAAAATACAGTCTTTGGACCAGTAGTGTCAACATAATCTGGGAATTTGTCAGTATATTAATGAGTCTTATTCCAAACCTACAAGATAAAACCTACAAAATAATAAAGCAGAAATCTGTGCTTTATTAAGGCCCTCCTAATGATCCTGATTCGTTAATAAGTTTGAGAACTCACTATTTAGTTTAAAGATCTGTGTTTTGGCAAAACTAACAGTGTCCTCCATTTTCCCTTCTCCCCCCACCCCTTTTTCTTCTTTATAGTACTTAGACTCTGACATTTCCTTCTGTGTATACTTCTTCCCTCCAACCCATCTCTTTCTACTGGAATGAAAGCTTCTTGAGGGCTGGAAGTTTTTCTGTTCAAGTTCATTGCCTTAGCTCAGTGCCTAGAAGAGTAACTAACCACAACTAGCACAGACACTCAAATATTTGTTGGATGAATAATATGATTTAGTCCTATTTACTGCCAGTTGCTACATTGGGGTTTTGTTGAAGAATAGTTTGAGTGAAGAGTAATCACATTCCAATTTGCAAATCCAGAAGAATCTTAACATTTTGGGGCATTCATTTTAGCTTTAGCCATCCTTCCTTCCCTGTGTTTTGTTATTCTTATTTCTTAGTATTATGTGAAACTAGGGTCTTGCTGTGTAGCCCAGACTGGCTTTAAATTTGTGCCAGCTTTCCTGTCTCAGCTTCTTGAGCGCTGAGATTATAGATAGGCATATTCATGGCTTTGCTGTCTTTGTACAATAGAAAAAACCTACAGGATTTTCCAACTTAGAATAGTGGTTTAGACAGGACCTGAAAACTGCTGAAATATCGTAGGCCAGGATTCTTTCTTGAGAATTTGCAACTTGGTTTTGCAGGTCTAACATGAGAACTCCAACTTTTGAGTCTGAACTTGAAAGTGTCTCTTCTAGATTGCCTGTGTTTTTTGTCTTTTTCTAGTGATGTTTAAAACTGTATAAAGGCTCACTTGATTCCACACAACAATTTCTCTTCCTTATGAGGCTCTAGAAGTGTTTTGTTTCACTTTTTTTTATTGTGTGTGTATATGTATGTATGTATTTTTTCTTGTATGTTTGTAGGTTTGTGTGTGCATTTGTGGAGCCATATGTCTGTTGGGTGTCTTTAATTGCTTCTGTACTTTTTGAGACTTAAGAGTTCAGTTAGACTGGCTGGCCAGCAAACTCTAGGCATCCTCTTGACTGCCTCCCCAGTGCTGGGATTATAGGTATACTACTGCTCCCATTTGTTATATAGGTGCTGGGGAACCAAATTCAAGTACTCCTGCTTGTGTGGAAAATACTTTACTGAGTCATCTCTTCAGCCAAGTGTTTTTGTCACCTTTCTTACTAGCCTACCACAACATGCCCAGTTTTCCCCTTTCCTAACATCCCTCTGGGAAAAGTGGCTTCATTTATTCATTTGTTACCTTATAAACAATAATTGGGTTCATCTGTACCACGTACCAGACCTTTTCTGGGATAGA